GGGCCCAAGAGGGCCTAAAGACGGGCCAAGAACGCCCCAAGAGGCCTCCAAGACGGCCCACGAGGGCCCCGAGACGCCAAACGAGCGCTCCAAGACGCCCAAGATGGCCCAATGACTGGCTCAGAGGCCTCCTAGACGGCCCAAGAGGTCCCCACGAGGCTCCAAGAGGCCTCCAAGATGCGTCTCCAGAGGGTCCCTAGACGCAAACATGGGCCAATTCCCAGCATAAAACGTACAATGTTCACAAATTCGCCTTCTGGGTTTTCCGATGCTCCCAGACGGCCCAAGAGGCCCCCAATACCGCCCCAAGACGGCCCAAGAAGCCTCCAAGAGGGCCCCAAGATAGCCCAAGAGGGCCCCAAGACGGCCCAGCAGGCGTCCAAGACGGCCAAAGAGGGCCCCAACTCGGCCCCAAGAGCGCTCCAGGAGCGCTCCAAGTGGCCTCCAACAGAGCTCAATATGGTCCCACACGGTCCAAGAGCGATCAAAAACGCCTCCAAACGGCCCAAGATGCCCCCAAGAGGCCCCAAGAGGCATCCAAGATGCGTCCCAAGAGGGCCTCTAGACGCAAAAATTGGCCCGTCCCCTTCGTAAAACGTACATGTTTCACGAATTCGCCTTTTCGGTTTTCCGACGCTCCCAGACGGCCCAAGAGGCCCCCAAGACCGCCCCGAGACGGTCCAAGAAGCCTCCAAGAGGGCCCCAAGACAGCCCAAGAGGGCCCCAAGACGGCTCAAGAGGCGCCGAAGACGGCCCAAGAGAGCCCCGAACACGGCCCCAAGAGCGCTCCAGGAGCGCTCCAAGTGCTTCCATGAGAGCTCAACCTGGTCCCAGACGGTCCAAGAGCGATCAAAGACACCCGAGATGGCCTCCAGATGGCCCAAGAAGCCCCCAAGAGGCCTCCAAAATACGTCCCAAGAGGGTCCCTAGACGCAAAAAAAAGCTCATTTCCTTCGTAAAACGTATATGTTTCACAAGGTCGCCTTGCGGGCTTTCCGACGCTCCAAGACGGCCCAAGAGGCCCCGAAGACCGCCCCAAGACGGCCCAAGAGGCTCACAAGACGGCCCCACGACGGCCCAAGATGGCCCCAAGACGGCCCAAGAGGTCCCCAAGACGGCCCAAGAAGGCTCCAAGACGGCACCAAGAGGGGCCCATGAGGGCAACCAAAAATTCAAAATCTAGCTTTCCGCCCCCACGAGCCCCAGGGGCCCAAGAGTGCCCCAAGAGGCCGCCAGAGGCCGCCAGAGGCCGCCAAGACACCCCAAGGAGCCCCCGAGAGGCCCCCAGGAGGCCCCCAAAAGACCCCCAGACGCTTCCGTCGCGAAGTGTTCACTATCTTGCTCGGCGCCAATGTGCTGCTGCCGCGCGAACTGTTTCGTGCGCGCTGCGAACGTCAACAATCTCTTCACCCGTTTCGACTCATCTGCCACATCTTTCGCGGCGATGCCTCGCTGATCACAACTTCCGCACACCGCTTTTGCTCCTTTCGTCTTCCGGTGGTCCTCCACTTGGTTGCGGGTCGAAAAGCCGACCTCCCAGAAGGACACCCCGAACCCCGGTGCACAGCACGCAAGGCGTTCGCAAAACACGCCCCAGACCACCGGCATCACGCAAACATTTGGACCCCCTACGTATCTGCCACCACCCGCGCGCGACACCGCACCCTCACACAAGACGCCGCTGGCCACAAACTCCTGGCCTCGCAACACTCACAGAAGGGGTCGGCGGATGTGGCGCAAGCCTGTAGAATCGGCGACGCATCGCAGATGGATCGGCGATAGGCCCCGAATAGCGAATCCACACGCTCATGGGCGGGGTGGGCTATCAGGCCCCGATCTAGAGACCTCCCAAGTGGGGTCGGAGTAGATGGGGTCGGAGGATCTCGCCGCATCGCCGATACATCGGCCTAGACGGACGGCGATTAATGGGCACCCCCGATGAGACAGGCTGCGGTGGCAACTCATGGGGGCCTCCCGTACCATCTTGTCGGCTTTTGCGAATCGGCGCTAATCGACGCTTATCGACGATAAATCGCCGCTAATCTTTGCAAACCGACGCTAAATCGGCGCTATCTCATCGACTCCCAGACGCTAATCGACGCCAATCGACGCTACAGACGGAATTACGAGGGTACACAAGGCTCCCAGGATTTGCTACCGAAGTGTTGCCCCTGACACAGGCCGCCCCTGGAGCCCAGGAGGGCTGGGGGACCACCAGGCACCCGCTGGCCCGCACCCTCGCTGGCCCGTGGGGCAGGGCCCTGGCGCGCCGGGGCGGCCAAAGGAGCCAGGGGCACACTGACGGGGAAGGACCAGAGGGCACGCAGGAGTCCCAATGTTCTACGTTTTCATACGTTTTTCTTTTGGACGCCCGAAATGGGCACGGAAAGAATGGGTACAATGCCCAACAACAAATGTTGCCCCAAACCATCAGCGGCCACTGTTGGGCAGGCGGCCTTCTGTCTCAAATGGGCACAGGCCGCGGCGATACCGACACCGAGTCCTGTTCAAAATGAACAGAAACTGCTGTTGGGCATTGTGCCCGCTCTTTCCGTACCCATTTCGTTCGTGCCGATTTCTGTCTCTGGGAGGTTTTTGCAAGTCTTCGGCCGGTTTTCGGCCTCTGAAACGTTTTCGCCAGGTCTCCAGCAAACCACCAAGTGTTCGGCAGGTTTTCTGCAGTTTTCGGCAGGCTTTAACTGGTTTTCGGCAAATCACGACGGAATGTTTCCGGCGTGTGAGTTTCTGAGAGCGTGGGCTTGAGCTCGCTCAAGCTTCGCTCTGCAAGGAGGGGGGGGCACAAACGATGAAAGAATTGACACGCAAGGCCTCCCCAATGCCAGGATCGCCCCCTCCCCTGCACCTTCCTCTCAGGCGCCCTCCCCCCTCTCTTCCTGCACCACCCCCCCCTTTCCCCTGCAATCTCCTCTCCGCCCCCCCCCCCTCTTCCTGCACCCCCCCCCCGCCTCTGCACCTTCTCTTTCCCCCAGGTTCCCCCCCCCCTGCACTGCGCCCTGGACAGGAGAGAGGGGGGGGGGAGGGGAGGGGAAAGGAGAGAGGGGGGGGGAGGGACAGGAGAGAGGGGGGGGGGACAGGAGAGAGGAGGGGGGGGGGGGGAACAGGAGAGAGGGGGGGAGAGGAGGGGGGGGGGACAGGAGAGAAGGGGGGGGGGGGGACAGGAGAGAGGGGAGGGGGGAAAGGTGTGAGGGGGGGGGGACAGGAGAGGGGGGGGGAAAGGAGAGAGGGGGGGGGACAGGAGAGACGGGGGGGACAGGAGAGGGGGGGGGGGGGGACAGGGAGAGGGGGGGGGAGAAAGGAGGGGTGGACAGGAGAGAGGGGGGGGGACAGGAGAGAGGGGGGAGGGGGAGGGGGAGGGGAAAGGAGAGAGGGGGGGGAGGGGACAGGAGAAAGGATGTTGCAGGCCCAAAAGGCAGAACAAAACCGTGGCGCTCAGCAAAGCGCGGGCCAACGTGCCCTGGCCAACGGCCAAAGTGGCCAACGGCCAACACCAAGGGCACACGCGCAAAAAGAGGGGATCACGGACACAAGCTGGGACCTGACCACCGGCCTCCTTTCCTTGACTAACTCCCAATAGCGCCAGAAACGCTGTGCCTTAGGGAGGAAAAAACAAGGAAAAGAAAGCAAACCAAGCACCGCCCTACACCCCGCGCCAAAATGGCGCACGGGGGTTCGGGATCGGCGCCCAAGGGACAATACACGGAGCGTTGCCCAGCGCCCGCACCCTCACAAGCACGGCAACAGTGTGCCCGCGGCAAAGAGCACTGCAACCAAGAGGTTACACGCGGAAAGCCGCGGGCCCCGCCTCCGTGGTCGTCAAACGGCGGTACACCTCAGACCAGGAGGTGCCACTGGGGTCTTCCCGCGCCCAGGCCGCACCTCTTGGCCGAGGTGGCAGGGCACTAAAAGCCCTGGCCTGACAGCTGCAACGGCAACAGCAGCGCCAGCAGGGAGGGGGAGGGGGAGGGGGCCACTCTCCGGCCCAGGAGCGCAAACAACGTCCACCCTGGAACCTAATCCAGGGCCGTGCCGCAACTCCCAAAGAGGAAAAGGGCGACGGACATGACGACGAAACGAGACACGAAGGACGACAACGAACGACCACGAACCTCCCAGCGGGAGGGGATCATCACCATCATCATCATCATCATCATCATCATCATCATCATCAACACCATCATCACCATCATCACCATCATCATCATCATCATCACCACCACCACCACCACCACCACCACCACCACCACCACCACCACCATCATCATCATCATCATCATCATCATCATCATCATCATCATCATCATCATCATCATCATCATCATCATCATCATCATCCGGAGCGCCCCGGATCGGCGGCACTGGCCGGAGGCCACTACAATCACGACGGAATGTTTCTGACAGTTTTCGGCCTCTGGGAGCCCTCGCTGGGCCGCGGTCAAAAAACAACTCGGGACGAAAACCCAGCCCTATGGAGAGGGTCGGGACTTCGGGACAGAACCATCTCTCGAGAACCGAAAACGGATAGATTACTTATCGACGTGTCAGGGTGGGGGCTCTGTCCGCCCCCGAGCATCGAAAAGAGCAAGACGGCGCATGCCTGGAGTTCCAGGCCAGCCTGCGAGGTTCGAAGCTCGAAGTCCGGGGGGTTCGTACGCTCTCGTCGGCCCCTCGAGGTCCCCAGGCCCCTCGGGGGCGCCGTCCGGCAGCTGCGCCTCGCCGGCCGCTGGGGGCCCAAGGAATGGCCCAGAAGCCAAGAATCCAACGACGTGGAAAAATCAAGACGGCAGTTTTTCGTAGCCTTCGGCCTCCGGGGGTCGGTTGCGGGCCTGGGGGCCACAAAAGACCACTGGGGAGGGAAAGCTGGCCCTGGGGACAGGGTCGAGGTTTACAGGAAACCCGCATTGATAAATCAAGAATTCGAACGTGTCGGATCCCACGCAGAAGCTGGCAATCCCGACGCCGAGCGAGCAGCGCCCGGGCACCAGTCGGACTGCCACACCGGGTAGTCTTCCGCCGAGGTGCTCAGGAGGATCTGGGACTCCTCCCTACCCTGCCCGAGCGGTCGCTGCCGTGTGCGCGGTGCGCGACGAACTTCGAAGCACGAGCTCGAGAGGGATGACCAATGGAAGTGTTGCTGCCCACGCCCAGGACGGCTCCTAGAGAGCCGCGTGCACGCCTGTCCGAAGAAAGCGCCCACCTATCCGAAAGCTTGTCGGTTTTGAAATCGCTGTGGCAAATTATTGGGGGCATCCGGAGCCATCCCGGGCCCCCCTTCGGGATCTCTCAGGCTGTCTCAGGGGCTCTCTGGACTTTCTGGGACCCAAGCTTCATCATGCAGTACACTTGCGAACCTGAAAGGTTGTTGCGCGATTTGGCTTCTCAAGAAGTTTCTGCGGCATCATCTTGGAGCCCCTTGGGGCAATCTTGGAGCCATCTCGGGTCACTTGGAACCGCCGTCCGCCATTCTAGAACCCATGTTTGCCGACTGAAGCGCTGTGGAGGCTGTGCTGGACAATGCTGGACCGTCTTGGAACCGCCTTGCGGCCGAAGAAAATATGGTGGACACTCTGCCTAGATACGTCGACGGAATGCGCGGAGCCTCGGGGGGAACAGGGGGGCTGCTGCTTCAGCTCAAGTTCTCGGCACCGCCTCCCGCACGCCCCTGGCCCACGCTCGGTCTGCCTTGCAGGTGTGCGGGACAATCCAAAATTTCCCCGGGAGGCTTCGCGCATTCCGACGCTGGCGTGCCTTCGGTGAAGACCCCGATGTCCTCCTGGGCTGCTCAAGACGACCCCAGAACGGCTCCTGGGGAAACCGAAAGGTACCGATACCGCTACTCACTCCCTGGACCTCTCCTGGGGTGCGTTCTGACCAGGATTTCGAGGCGAATCCAGCGGTGGCGACGGAGGCCCAGAAGACCCAAAAAGGGAAAAACGAGGGGAGGGTAGAGGTAATTATGGGTGGGTATCTTTTCCTCCTCTGAGCTCCAAGACGGCCCTGGCAGCCCTCAAGTCCTCCACAGAGGCCCCACGGGGGGCTCCGAGGCGGCCCAGGATGGCTTTTGTAAGGCCTCCGAGGCGCGGCTTGCAGGCTGCGCGGCTCTCCCCCAGAAAGGGCCCCAGGAGCCCACACGAGGGCGCCCAGGAGGCCCAAGACGGCCCAAGACGGCCCCCAAGAGAGCTACACTCGAATGCCACAGCACCAAAATGTAGATTTCCCGATCTCCCGATGGAGCCTCAAAGCCGCCGAGGAAAGCCAAGATGACCCAAGACACGCAACCAGGGGCCACCAGGACAGCACAAGATGCCCATGGAAAGCCTCCGAGAAGCATGAGGCCCCCACGAGGGGCCCTAGAGGCCCCCAAAATAGCCTACAGATGGCCCCAAGCAGCCAAGAGGTTCCCAGGACGGCTCCCCAGCCAAAAAAGTCGCGCCAGCTTCGCGATGAGGGCACCGTGTCGGGCTGGGCCGCTGTCTAGGTGTCTCGGGAGAAACCATGGGGCGCGCATTGGGTTTGGGTGAGGGCCTCTTGGGACCTCTTGGGTTGCTCCTTGGGCCTCCTTGTGGCCATCTGGGGCTCCTTGGGAAGCCCATTTCAAGCAATAGGTCGGCCTGAGCTACTGCAAGAACGACAAAGGCGGGCGATGAACGCGAAGCATCTTGAATAACACCGTCCGCGGTAAAAACAGGGCAACCGAATCCAAGCTTGGGCAGTGCAAAGCAACACGCGAAGCACCATGCTGCATTCAAATGATACTTTTTGGGCAACGTTTTCGTTTCCGCGCGCGCTACTCACTTACTTCTGCGTAGCACTATAGAGGAGGCCCGCTGCACTCGATCCCTAGGCAAAACACAACGGAGAGAGAAGAGCAAGTCTCTGGACCCCTCCTGGGGTGCACCCCGGTCAGCTTTTCGAGCTGCGCCAAGCCGTGGCGACAAGAGCCTCCCAGAGGCGCCCAACACACAGCCCGAAGGAAGACGCCGACGTCGACGTCTTCGTCGACGTCGTCGCCTCAAAGCGCCCTGAGCGCTCCCCGGGGCCGCAGAGCCCGGCTGCGGGCCCACGACAGCTGCAAGCCCGCCAACCCCCGAGCGCGGGAGCGAAGGGCACCGCGCCGGTGCGCTCGCGAGGCCGGCTGGGCGGCGGCCCCCCGGCCACGGGGCTCCGGGCAGCTCACGCCAGACCGCCGGGCAGAGGCAGGTCCTGGGGTCGAGCAAGAGGCTCGCCGGCCCTCGGGCGTCCCTTCTCCCCGTGCGTTTGCCCGCTGCGTGCGCGGAGGTCTCTGCTTCGCCGAAGGGTGCGAGGTGCTCCGGGAGGGTCCGGGTTTCCTGGCGCTGGCCTCGCCGAGAGAGATGCGCACGTCCGAGGGATACCAAGAAGGGGGGCTCAGCAGAGGAGGGGGGGGCGAGTCCGCTCACGTGGCTGGCTTTCCTGGCGCCTGCCGGCGCCAGAGGTGCCCACGTGTCGAAGAAAGCGCCTGGCAGCGGCACAGAATTCGAGTAGGACATCGACTACAGAATTGATTCACCCCCAAATTGATTTTCCCCATCGAATCTGCGCGGGATACGTAGAACTTTCGTAAGTCAATGGGGGATTCTAAATGTTTTCCGCATATTCGACGAGAAAACTGATTTGAGAGTAAATCAATTCTGCAGTCGGTCCCTCTCTCGAAGAATCCAGCCGCATGCAGCAGAGTTCTTACCGCCCCTTTTCACTACCCCCCCCCCTTTCGTCCGACCCGAAATCCTTGATCTCTCACAGCCAGCGGGTCTCGAGGATGTCTTGGACGCCGCAGCCGTTCCAGAGCGCTCCAGAACGTCCTGGGAGCGTTCCGGAGCGCTCTGGGGCAACCGGGCAACTCGTACGCAGCACCCCGCAGTTGCGGGTAAGAGTGAAGGGGCGGACGCGGGATGAGTCGCGCGTGGGTCGCGGGTGGGTCGCGGGGCGGGTCGCGGGTGCGTCGCTTGTGGGTCACGACGGGTGGGTCGCGGCGGGTGGGTCGCGGCGGGTGTGTCGCGGGTGCGTCGCGGGCGAGGACGATGACAGCAACGCAACGCAACAACGCAACAACAATCCCCAATCGCGGAACCCCACTTCAGCCACACGGCCAGGAACAGTGAATGATCGCTCGGCCCTCCCCATCTGATCAGAACGATGATCAACATTACTCGTGTTCTGCATTTTGTTATTCTTATTACTGTCATTGCTAAAACTATCCAAATGATTGTCATTCGTAGTTTTTGTCGTACTCGTCTTGCTGTTGTTACTCATAATGCCTGATCCTGGAAGCTCCTGGCAGCTGCCCCGGACCCCCTGCGCCTGTGCCTGCGGAGACTCCGGCGTGCCAGGGCCAGCTGCGGGCGCTGCTCCAGGACGGCTCGAGAATTGAGGCCTACATGAACGACTTGACGCAGAAAGACACTATTACTATGTGTCCTTGGAGGCGTGCGTCCGACCCGAACATACAATACAAACATATTGTAGTCAGAGTGAAGGGGCCGAACGGTCATTCACTGTCCTTGATTGCGTGGCTGAAATGGGATTCCGCGGGGCGGATTGTTCTTGCGCTGTTGAATATCGAAATAATAAGTCTTTCTGGTTGGACACCCTACATCCGCCCGGGCGTTCCCGCCTCGGCACCAGCTGCATTTCTTCCGAAAACGAGGCTCACGCTCAACCGTTTCGGGGTACCGCCGAAGCGCCCAACCCCCAACAACAAGGACGACACTGCACCTAGACACCCGTTGCACGTGTGCTGAGGTCAATGGTTGTCCTTAAGCGACGATCATTGACCTAGACCCCCGTTGGTCGGCAACCCCCCCCCCGCCCCAACAACCAGCAACCCAGCAACCCAACTCGCCCCTCAAGCTTGGCTTGCAACCTACCAATCCTATGGACCTTGCTTACACGACCCCATGGACGTGCGCTCTCGATAAAACATGTGCGCGCCGGCGACCTGGTAAAGCTCTTTAGGGATCCGTACAGCCCTACAGCCCTACTCTGGATTCCCAATTTAGGGTTCCCTACTAAGGATTCCCGCCTGAGGATTCCCCACGAAGAATTCCCTACTAAGAACTCCCTGCTAAGAACTCCCTACCAAGGACTGCCCCAACGAAGAACTCCCTACTAAGAACTCCCTACTAAGGGTTCTCCCATAAGGATACCCTACTAAGGATTCCCGACTACGGCTTCCCTACGACCAATTCCCGACAAAGGACTCCTTAGTCAGAAGACCCGACTTAGGAATCATTACTAAGGATTCATCTAGTGCGGCTTCCCTACGAAGGATTCCTTACTAAGAATTCCTTAGCAAGGATTCCTTACTGAGGATTCCTTACTAAGGATTCCTGACTGCGGATTTCCTAAAAAAATCCTTATTGCGGTTTCAGGACTAAGGAATCCTTAGTACTGGTTATTGCGTAAGGACTTGCCACGCACTAACGATCCACTCTAAGAGTCCCACCAGCCCTTTGGGCGTGAGTGGTTTAGAGAGCCCGCTCTGTCCTCAACCCCCCTTCTTCCCCTTCGGGGAGGGGTTTACCCCTCCCCCTACCCCCTCCCCTGGACCTGGAGAGGGCGGGCCGAGTGGTGGCAAGGGGGTCTTTTTCGACTCCTGGGAGGGCCAAAAAACGACGACCCTCACGAGGATTCTGGTCCCGAGGGGGGGGGGGGTAGTTTGGCCCCTCAACTCGTCTTTGAAGCCAAAAACATTGATTTTACTACGGTGTTGGCCCCATTTTGGCCTTATGAGGGGGCCGCGCTCATCTTCCTTCATAGCAAAATCATTGATGTTACGAAGGTTTTGGCCTCATTTAATCCTTCTCAGGGGGCAGCGCTCATTTCCGCTTCTGAGGAGGTCGCAAGAGGCCCCAAGATGGCCCCAAGAGGCCCTCAGGAGGCCCCCAAGAGGCCTCCAAGAGGCCCCCAAGAGGCCCCCAAGAGGCTCCCAAGAGGCCCCCAAGCGGCCCCCAAGAGGCCCCCAAGAGGCCCCAAGAGGCCCCAAGAGGCCCCCAAGAGGCCCCCAAGAGGCCCCCAAGAGGCGCCCAAGAGGTCCCAAGAGGCTCCAAGAGGCCCCCAAGAGGCCCCACGAGGAGCCCGAACGACTCACACCAGGACGAGGGGCCCCAACGACTCACACCACGAAGAGCCCGAACGACTCACACCACAAGGAGGGGCCCGAACGACTCACACCAGGACGAGGCGCCCGAACGACTCACACCACGAGGAGCCCGAACGACTCACACCACGACGCGGGCCCCGAACGACTCACACCACGAGGAGCCCGAACGAGTCACACCAGGAGGAGGGGCCCGAACGACTCACACCAGGATGAGGGGCCCGAACAACTCACACCACGAGAAGCCCGAACGACTCACACCAGGACGAAGAGCCCGAACGACTCACACCACGAAGAGCCCGAACGACTCACACCAGGAAGAAGGGCCCGAACGACTCACACCAGGACGAGAAACCCCAAACGACTCAAACCACGAGGAGCGCTTTCTCTCCCTCCTCCTTCGCCTCGTCCTTCTCCCGCTCCCCCCACAAGGAGGATGTACAAGGAGGCGGGAGGAAGGAGGAACAGGGGAGATATGCGGAGCCCAGCGGACACACGCCTGAAAAACACAACTGTCGGCATGCTTCGCGAGAGTTGCTGCTGTGAGCTGGGCTGGTGGGGATACGCGAAGCGTAAAGAATTCCTTCATAAGGACTCCTTCGTAAGGATTCGCTACGTACTAAGGACTCCTTAATAAAAGTTTCTCACTCAGGGCTCCTTTCTAAGAATTCCTGACTAATGATCCCTCATCAAGAGCTCCTTACCAAGGAATCCTTACTGAGGACGCCTTACTCAGGAGGCCTTACTAAGGAGACCCGACCAAGAACTTCATACTAGGGATTCCCCGCTAAGGATTTCCGACTAAGAATTCCGACTAAGGATCCCTTATTAAGGAGTCCTTACTAAAGATTCCTTATCAAGGTGCCTCAGTGAGGATTCCTTGCCAAAGATTCATGACTAAAGGCTCCTGAGTAAGGACTCCTCATCAAAGTACCGTTATCACGAATTCCTTCCTGACTGCGGATCCCTTACTGAAGACACCTGACTAAGGATCCCGAACAAAAGATCCCTTACTGAGGATGCCTTACAAAGGAACAACGGAACAACGGAACAACGATGGTGTTAGAGTGGTGGAGAGGTGGGAGTGGTGGAGAGGTGGGAGTGGTGGAGAAATGTGGGGTGGGAGGTGTGGAAGGAGTGGGAGGATAAGGACAAGGATGGTGGAAGGGGTCATCATCATCATCATCATCATCATCATCATCATCATCATCATCATCATCATCATCGTCATCATCACCACAGACATCATCACCCTCGGCATCATCACCACAGACATCATCACCCTCGGCATCATCACCATCATCATCAGTAAAGCCACCATCATCACAATCGCCACCATCGTCATCACCATCATCACAATCATCATCACCATCATCATCATCAGCATCATCATCATCAGCATCATCATCATCATCATCATCATCATCATCAGCATCCTCATCCTCATCATCACCATCATCATCCTCATCATCACCATCATCGTCCTCATCCTCATCCTCATCCTCATCATCATCATCATCCACATCCTCATCCTCATCAGCATCAGCATCATCATCATCCTCATCCTTATCCTCATCCTCAGCATCATCATCATCACTCGTCATCGTCATCATCATCATCATCATCATCATCATCATCATCATCATCATTATCATCATCATCGTCATCAGCATCAGCATCCTCATCATCATCATCATCATCAGCATCATCGTCGTCATCATCATCAGCATCATCATCACCATCATCATCATCATCATCAGCAGCAGCATCATCATTATAATCATCGTCATCAGTATCAGCATCATCAGTATCATCATCATCATCATCATCATCATCATCATCATCATCATCATCATCAGCAGCAGCAGCATCATCATCATCATCATCGACAGGAAAACGTCAGGAAGCCTCGATGAGCTTCAGGACTCCCTTGGAAATCCCTGCGGAATCCCAGCGGGAATCCCTTTGGACCCCTCAGAGATCCCTCAGGAATCCGTGCGATTCCCTCAGGAGGAATCCCTGAGGGATTCCCTCAGGAATCCCTCCGGAATCCCTGAGGAATCCCCAGGAGCCCATTAGGAATCCTCAGGAATTCCTCAGGAATCCATGCGGAATTCCCTCAGGCATCCCGTAGGAATCCTCGGGAATCCTTCGACAATCCTCAGGAGCCCCGTATGAATCCTCAGGAGCCCCTTCAGGAATCGTGGGAAATCCTTCAGGAATCGCAGACTTGATGCCGCATCGGACCGATCGGGCCTGGATGGACCCTGTGTCTTGTGGGCCTCCAGAGGCCTCCGGAAGCCTGCAGGGGCCCGAGAGCATGATCTACCGAGGCCCGCCCCGAGCCGCTGCAGCCCGCCGCCGCCGCACACGCCGCCGCCTCGGGCGCGCCGCGCCGCCGGGAGAGGCCCAGCCCAGCCCGCGGGTCCTCTGGAGACCATGCCCCGAGCTCGGGCGCGGAGCCCACCACCTCCCCACGTCCAGCGAGGAGGGGGGCGCGAGGTGAGCGGCGGAGCGGAGCGGGGCGGAGCGGAGCGGAGCAGGGGCCAGACAGCCGTCTCTGCGGGGCGGCCGCACAGTGCCCGGCGAGCACGGGGAGGCCGGGAGGGCATCGCACGGAGGCCGTGGCGCAGCGGAACGCCATGCGGCGGGGCAGAAACGACGGCGGCCGCAAGAGCGTGAGATGAGGGGGCGCGAATGGCACCAGAGAGAAGCAGAAGTTTTAGAGTTTGAAGACGGCCTCTGGGAGGGGAGCCCGATCTTGCTCCCCCGAGGCCTTCCCAAAGCGAGAGGCTCGAGCGCGGTCGACGCCGTCCTACCGCCTGCCCAGCACTGGGACCCAGCACTGCCGTGGAGACTTGAGGACTTACACCCACGAGTGAATTCGCAGCTGAGCCTTCCCGCCGCAAGAGGCCCCCAGAAGGCCCCCAGAGGCCCCCAGGAAGCCCCAAGAGGCCCCAAGAGGACCCCAGGAAGCCCCAAGAGGCTCCCATGAAGCTCCCACGAGGCTCCCAGGAGGCCTCAACGCTGCCACAGAGAGGCATCCCCGAGAGCCCTCCGAAGAGACCCCAGGAAGCACGAGGCCGCTGCCCCACGACCCAGGCACTGTGGCGGGGTGGGCCGAAGGCCATTCGATGAATTCGCAGCCGAGCCAGGGGTGATGTACACCAGCATCACTAGGCCACCCAACTTCGCTCACCGCGCCACGCTTGGTGCAACGCGCGGTTAACTTCGCGTCATACGATAGCGCGTCGCGGAAGACTTGGATGGCGAATGGGTCATGCTTCTGCGATTGCGCTACTCACACACGGACTGCATCGAAAGAGTGCGTGGGGGGCGGGGGAGCATGTACTTGTCTCGTCTCTGCATACGTACTCTCGCATGAGTGTATACGTACGCACGAACACACAACCGCCGACGAGCGAGTAGGTACCTTGTGCGCTTGTGCGCATGAGTGCGCGGGTGTATGTGTGAGTGCTCCTGCGTTTGCCCTTCTGCTAAAATCACCAGACATTCTGACCTCCTCTTCACTCCCTTACCCCGTCGCGATTTGTGGAATCACGTATGGACTGCCTTCCAGTCTCTCGCGTAGAGGAGAATGTGAATGGCACCAGGCTCGAGCAGTAAGAGCTCGGAACCGGAGAGCTGTGCCGCAAGCTCACCGTTGCGACGACGAGCTTTTCTGATACACCCCCGCATGATTCGCATACCACACTGGAACAACAACCTGGGCGAGCAGCAGCAGCAGCAGCAGCAGCAGCAGCAAGGGGCATCACAAAAACGAGGGGGATGGGCAGCCAGGGACGCACAAAGAACGGGGAAGGAGGAGGCATTTCAAGAGGTTCTTCAAAAGGGGAAGCACGGCATGGTGACACCTCGCCGTGGAAATGGTCCAGCGGGCAGAGCGTATAAGAGGAAGAGCGGGGATCCTGAATGCGCAAGGAGCCAGAAGCGAGACGAGAGCGAATGCAAGGAGAAGCTTCGGAAAAACGTTCAATGATGCAAGCATGCGTCGTCGACATGGAGGACGCCCCCGTCGGTACTCCTACCTTGAGCTGCTCGCCGCAGGTCGTCTCTGAGCACACCACCTGCAATGCCAACGCCGCAGTGAGAGTACGCCAGGGCACGAGCAATGCTATGGATGACAGAAGGGCTGCGCGCGGGTCGGAGAGGCCTGCACTGTCATTCTTCCTCCAGCTGCTCACATGTGGTCCAAACGAGCTGTATGCCACGTCTTCCTAATGGACAGCATACCTCCGGGATACAGGGGTCGCGCAGCAAAGAGCACAATCCCCCCCCCCGAGCTTCCAGCAGAGGCGTGTCGAGCACGACCCCTGATCAAGGCGCGCCCTCGGCACGAGGGACCCTGCGGCGGGGTCGCCACGCCCCACCGCCACTTGGGAACCCCGTGGGCGCTGCTGTGTTACCCTCCGCGTGCGCAAGTGGGGGCAGGGAGAGGACCGAGTCGTTCACGCGGCCGGCGCCCGCCACTCCGAGCCCCGGCCTCGCCAGGACGTGGAGAATCCGATCCCACCCGTCGCATCGATCTCGACACGCGGGCTGTCCTGCACTCTCTCCCCGAGGCGGCTCGAGCCTGACCTCCCGAGGCCCAGCCTCAGAGCAGGATTATCCGGCGAGGGGCCCAACCGCATGCAGCTGCGAGTCCCACTGAACAGGCGAAACGAGGGGAGGCAAGCAGACTAAGAAACAGCGTCGGATGCGGCCCTCGTCTCCTGGGCAGCGCGTCACAGAAACGACGGAGCAAAGGTCAGCGTGGACAGTTGAAGGCGGACGGATCAGGAGCTCCCTGTAGGGCGAGGAAACTCGATCAGCGAAAGTGTGTGTGTGCGTGATGAGACCTAGTATTGGAGGGGCACGGGGATCTCTCATGAAGCCTTCAGTGGAACTCGCTACGGGCCTACGAAACGCGTGAGAAGTGTGCCGGCATGATGGGATGGCCGCCATGCGAGCACTGCCACTGAGGTCTTCGGTGGAGCTCCCTATAGGGCCAGCAGCTGTGTGAGAGGCGTTCCGAAATGAGTGGCGGGGACGCAGTCAACCCTTCTCAACTGGAGCCTTCGGTAAATCTCGCTATGAGGCCACGAAACGTGTGATGGGTATGCCGAAATGAGAGGCAGAGACGCAAGTGAACTTTCCTTCTGGATCCTTCGGCGGAGCTCCCTATGCGGCCACGAAACGTAAGAGGGTGTGCCAATATGTGCGGCAGGGGCGCATGTAAACGCAACCACTGGAGCCTTCGGTGGAGCTCCATATGGGGCCATGAAACGCGTGAGGGGTGTGCCGAAATGTGCGGCGGGACACGCATGTGAACGCAACCACTGGGGCCTTAGGTGGAACGTGGAGCTCCCTACGGGACCACCACACGTGTGAGGAGTGTGCCGAAATGAGATGCCGGGACGCAAGCGAACTTTCCTTCTGGATCCTTCGGCGGAGCTCCCTGTGCGGCCACGAAACGTATGAATGGTGTGCCCGAATGGGGCGGGGCCGCATGCGAACGCAGCCACTGGGGCATTCCGTGTGGAGTTCCCCATGTGGCCGCGAAACGTGTGAGGGGTTTGGCCACATGGGGCGGGGTCGCAGGCGAACGCAGCCACTGGGGCCGTCGGTGGAGCTCCCTGAAATGGGGCGGGGCCGCGTGCGAACGCAGCAACTAGGGCCTTCGGTGGAGCTCCCCATGGGGCCGGGAAACGTGTGAGCGGTCTGCCCAAATGAGGCGGAGCCGCATGCGAACGCACCCACTGGGGCCGCCGGTGGAGCTCCCTATGAGGCCACGATACGTGGGAGGTACCTGCCGAAATGCAACGAGGGAAGAGAATGATGATGAGGAAGTGGAGGGGGGAGGGGGAGGAGGGGAGACGCGCGGCGCTGCGGATTCAAAACGAGGACCCAACAAACATGAGGGTTGGGAAAAACGAGCGTCCTGATTGTTCTTGGGGCACTGGACGTCTCTCCCTTGAGGCATGGCTTGGTCCACACAAGGCCGACAGGGGGCAGACATCAGCCCCACTGTTTTGAAGCTCCCGTCGACCTCGAGCTGCTGAAAGAGGGCCCGACCCCCGCGTGCGGCCACGAAAGCAACAAGATAGACGTCTGCTCACTCACCTCCTACTCCTCCGCCTCCTCCTCCTCCTCCTCCTCCTCCTCCTCCTCCTGCTCCTCCTCCCTCCCTCCTCCTCCTCCTCTTCCTCCTCCTCCTCTTCCTCTTCCTCCTCCTCCGCCTCTGCCTCTGCCCCTGCCCCTCCGCCTCCGCCTCCGCCTCCGCCTCTGCCTCCGCCTCCACCTCCGCCTCCGCCTCCGCCTCCGCCTCCGCCTCCGCCTCCTCCTCCTCCTCCTCCTCCTCCTCCTCCTCCTCCCCCTCCCCTCCTCCTCCTCCTCCTCCTCCTCCTCCTCCTCCGCCTTCCTCCTCCTCCTCCTCCTCCTCCTCCTCCTTCCTCCTCTCCTCCTCCTCCTCCTCCTCCTCCTCCTCCTCCCCTCCTCCTCCTCCTCCCCTCCTCCTCCTCCTCCTCCTCCCTCCTCCTCCTCCTCCTCACTCCTCCCCGCCTCCTCCTCCTCCACCTCCTCCTCCTCCCTCCTCCTCCTCCTCCTCCTCCTCCTCCTCTCCTCCTCCTCCTCCTCCTCCTCCTCCTCCTCCTCCTCCTCCTCCCTCCTCCCTCCTCCTCCCTCCTCCTCCTCCTCCCCCCTCCCCTCCTCCTCCTCCTCTCCTCCTCCTCCTCCTCCTACCTCCTCCTCCTCTCCTCCTCCTCCCTCCTCCTCCTCCTCCCTCCTTCCCTCCTCCTCCTCCTCCTCCTCCTCCTCCTCCTCCTCCTCCTCCTCCTCCTCCTCCTCCTCCTCTCTCCTCCTCCCTCCTCCTCCTTCCTCCTCCTCCTCCCTCCTCCTCCTCCTCCTCCTCCTCCTCACTCCTCCTCCTCCTCCTCCTCCCCTCCTCCTCCTCCTCCTCCTCCTCCTCCTCCTCCTCCTCCACCTCCTCCTCCTCCTCCTCCTCCATCCTCCTCCTCCTCCTCCTCCTCCCTCCTCCTCCTCCTCCTCCTCCTCCTTTCCTTCTCCTTATCGATAACTCCTCCCTGTCGCACCCCGACGCCAGTTTCTAGGGCGGGCCGGGCGTTTCGCCTGAAACATCCTCAACCTTTATGACTCTGAAGCTTAAAAAGGACAACAGTTTCACAGATGGAGGACGGGTCGTTTTCAGAATGTGGCTCTCACCTTAGCGCCGCGCACATTCGTTTTAAACAGTTGCAAGGGTTTCACGGGTTGAGGGCGGGTGGTTTTCAGAATGTGGCTCTCGCGTTAGCGCCGCGCACATTCGTTTTAAATATGTGCAAGAGCTTCCGGGATTGAGGGCGGTGCCTTTTCAAAATGTGGCTCTCGCGTTAGCGCCGCGCACATTCGTTTTAAACAGTTACAAGGGTTTCACGGAGTGAGGGCGGGTGGTTTTCAAAATGTGGCTCTCGCCTTAGCGCCGCGCACATTCGTTTTCAAAATTTGCAAGAGCTTCACGGATTGAGGGCGGATCGTTTTCAAAATGTGGCTCTCGCTCTAGCGCCGCGCACATTCGTTTTAAAATTGCAAGAGCTTCACGGATTGAGGGCGGTTCCTTTTCAAAATGCGGCTCTCGCCTTAGCAGCGCGCACATTCGTTTTTTAAGTTGCAAGAGTTCCCGACGGATTCCCATGATCAACGTACCAGAAGTAGTGTTTGGGAAGGATTCAGGGCTATGCGGGCGCAACAGTTATGTTGATTTGCTGTTCTGGCACGATTCTGGACCGTCAAGACGCAGCAGTCAGGTTGACACGTGGCGTTGAAATCCCGAGAACAATGTTTCGGCACGCTTCAGGATCTTCAAACTGTTGTCTTCCAACGAGGCAATTCCCTCAATGGAAATGAACCGTTGTAGGGGCCTGTGAAGGGGGAGCTTGGAGGGAGGGTTGATTCCAACATCGTTGATGGCTCTTGGGTTTCCACTGATCCTCCTCCTTCTCCTCATCATCATCATCATTACCACCACCACCATCATCACCATCATCACCATCATCACCATCATCATCATCATCATCATCATCATCATCATCATCATCATCATCATCATCATCATCATCATCATCATCATCATCATCATCATCATCATCATCATCATCATCATCATCATCATCATCATCATCATCATCATCATCCTCCCCCCTCACGACCACGGAGGTCACATAAGGGACTGGCAACCCCAAAAGAGACCTCCGCGGCAACCGAAAAGGGCTTGTCCACGGACAAGGCAGTTGTCTCTGGCAACGGGCCTCGCTTGCTGCGCGCTGGTCTGGGCGCGGCAGGGAGGAACGCGGAGGAATGCGGAAGGCGGATCGGCATGGGTCCGCAGACCCAGGTCAAGGAACAGAGTACTTACAGCAGAGAGTGGCCCGCGAGCGAGCGAGGGGCCGAGAGGATGCCACAGGACGGCCGCAGCGCGAGGCGCGAACCATGGGAAGCGAAACGAGAGAGGGCGGAAGGAGCGGACAAGACCACACGGAGTGGGCCCCGAGGCGCGTCTCAGAGATGGGTGGCGCAGGGGGCACCGCGGAGAGGCTGGACGAGAGGAGGGCCTTTCGCAGAGGAAGCGGCGCACGCGGCGGTCGAGGGCGGCCCTGCGCGTCAGTGCCCACGCGTCCGTGTCCCGGCGTCATCCTTACTATGCGGGTTGACTGCACCTGGACAACTAACACAGTCCCCACCCCCACGGGGAAGCATTGGCCGCACTGGCCGACGTACCCCCGCTAGGTTTGGATGGGATCGTCTTCCTTCGCGTCTCGCAGCATCCATCCCTACCTGGAGGTGGTACGTTGGGAGAGCGGGCCTACGATGTCCCGGTCGGGGTTGGGGTGGCTCTGACGATGATGCGATCGGGCCCTGGGGACCTCTCGACCCCGTCCGCGCGGCTGCTCTCCTGCGCAGAAGGCGGCTGTGCACTACCACCGCATCTGACTAGGGCCAGCCTGGGCCCCTGCCTGGTGCGTACACCCTCCCTGCCGAGGCCACGAGGGTCTTTACACCATCCTTCGGCCCCAGGCCAGGCATGGCGGTGGTG